TTTTTAGTTTCGAAATTACCAATTTTGAAAGCCATATTCAACAGAAAGTGAAAAAAAGATATAAGTAAATTTTGATGTGCTTCTTCGAATGTAGTTTGTATAAGAGCTAATAGTTTGTTTTTACTTTTTATATGTAGCTATGAAAAGAGATATAAGGAGCGAAGCTTTCTAATCACGTACTCAACAAAAGCTTGCCCATCTTATTAATGATCATATTAGAGGAAATATTGAATATGATTGTTACTTTATTTTGAACGAAAAAAGCGAGAATAAAAATGCAACAATACTCAGTACATCTAGCTATAATCTAACTATGAATCTATTGAAACGCATGCAGAAACAAGAGAAAAATGTCATTTGACGCCATGTCATCGAGGATATTAGACTTTATATCCATCTTTATTTTTTCTGGAGACTTTTTAACCGATGCTGGAGTATCGGTCGAATAAGCTGGTGGTTCGTCCACGACACTTATCTCTACAGCTGTACTTCGACAATGTTGAAATAAACACTAGATAACGATAGCAACAATCATTAGTAAAAGCAGTAGCATATTAATGAGCATAACGGTATTGTGAACAGCAAGTATGCTCACAAGTTTATGAACTCCATTGGGAACTTTTTCATTGATCACAGCTGTTATCTGTTCAAGCAATTTAGCCGCATCACACCAATTGTATGTAATAATTTGTGTATCATCGTTTGAAACTTTCGAAACATATGGACCCATACTAAATCAAAACGAAAAGGAAATCAATTAGAAAAAAAATGCTACATTCTATCTAAACCTCGAGTTTATCTCCACTGATTTCGTCAATCACATCATTTCTCAACTTTGAAAACTTACATTACAATGAATGGAATTTATCCAAAAGAGTATTACACTTCTCAATTTCAGAGACGACGATTCCACACGAATGCCGAGCGACTTCCGACAGAGAGACGAGCAACCAGCTTCACCAAACCGAAATAGTAAATGAATGAAATTAGTTTCAACACGTCCAACTGAAAGCACATATGCCCGCATCATCTCTTACACGATCGTGATAACAAACTATGATACGTGCACAGATCATGTGCTTCCACCCCATACCATCACGATCAGACCGACCATTATTATAAGTTACATGTTCACCTTCATAAGTATATTCATTCCAACTAATTATCCGCCTCCATCTAACTCACGCCCCAAAGCCAAATAATCACACGAAAGAGTATCTACAGATCGAACCACATGAAAAATAGATAAAACGTAGCGAATATCAACAATGAAATTTTCTCTTATCCTATCTATTACTATATCCTAAAATTCTCCATCCAAAATTATACCATCACACAGAGCAATTAATTCGAAATCCCATTCAACATTTTCACCTATACACAAATATCCTCACACGAAGGAATGTTCTCTTCAATGTTTGCACATACAATGCAAACGTGTGTGGCTGCAGAGGAAATGAAAGTTTCGATTTCGGATCCGAAGTTCGTGACCATCGGAGATATCGTTTCGGCTGTTTTTCCGTCCAACAGAGCTTCTGATTCCGAGTCAGAATCAGTATTTCGATGGTTGAAATACACATTGCGAGAGAGAGAAACACTGTCCTCCATGTTCGCAGATATGCACAGTTGGATATGTATGGATTGTGGGTGTGAATCTTAACTGGGAAGTCGATTTTACGATCGATTGTAGATATCGTTCGTAATTTTTTGTGAAATACAGAGTGTGTTTCGCAGTGAGAAAGGAGATGTTATGCTCAGAAATTGTGTTGTCAGACAGAGGAAGGCTCACGGGTATGCTGTTGGATTTGGTCGACATTGTTATATGTGCAGGGTAGGTGAGAATTTGATGGTAAAGTCGAATTTTGTTCTTTATTGGAAGGATTGAAGTCGTAGGTTTTTATATGTAAGGGGAATGTAGTTTGGATATCGAGCCTCATGATTTTGGCTATTACATGGTTTGTGAGGTGAAAGAAGCTTCATTCCAACCTTGAATAAAAATTTGCTGTGCTGATGGAATCCGGTAGCGGCAAACTGGGAGGATCGGTGTTTTTACTCTGTGGATATGAATGAAGATTTGGTTTTGATGGTGTATATGTAGGAATCTGCTTGTGTGTTGTCGAATTGCATTTACTTTGAGATTCGAAGTAGTTTTGGTTTTTCCCAGTTATCTTGAGGGTATTTTTTGGACGCAGTAGTCTTTGTCTAAGTTGGTGTGGTAGAAGCGATGAGTGACCGTTTGGTTTCATGCGAATCAAGATCTGCGCTATTTCTCATGCATTTGTGTGAGATGGTGGCCGGCATAGTGGGCAATGGTTGTGTAGGACAGGGTTTTTCTTGAATATACAGATATTACTCATTTCAACTGTTGAGCCATTGGAATTGCGGCAACCTGCGGGTGTGATACGGAATGGTCTTAAAGAGCTCTCTGAGCGATAGTTGAGATTTTGTTTGGAGCAGCAGTTCTGGTGCAGATATTTAGGCGTTTTCATTATATGCCATTAGCAAGGGTATTCGATGACAAATACGAAATATCTATGGCGAACGCATGACATACGGACAAATTGTACTGGGTAGAAAAAGCAACACGCTCAAAATTTCGACACTTGCGGTCCTTATCGTTCCGGTTTTCCATTGCACAACGCAGTTGCTTCGGTTGCAGTTTTGTACGCCAAGACGTCGCTCAATCTGATTTCTGCAATAGGAGTTTGATTAATTTTCTTTTACTCTGATATTTATTCTCCATTCCAGTCGTTCGTTCATAGATGCCATTGCCACTTTGACACGTCAGCCTATAGATTATATCTTCTCATTCACCCTTCCTTTCACTCTGATCCACCATCGAGGTTGATCTCAATCTTTTCAAAGCCTGCATCGCTACTGATTGACTCCATCGATTCCCTGTAACTACTGCAACATCTATAAAGGTATACCACGCGTGGAGTGTTCTCTGCGAGCGCTCAGACGACCTTCGGCCGCCTTCGCTATCACAGTTAATCTCGATGCTTTCTCCAACGAACATTCACCATCAACCACTCTCCCAAACCATGTTTTATGAAGTTTTGAGCGTTTTTGGAGAAAATGTTTTTTTGACCTTTGACCCCAAGAGTAATGTTCTTTTGACCCCGTCTCTCGTTTCGTGCCAACATCTGCCCATGAGACCCCTCCTAGAAAACATACCTTTGAGTTTTGAGAATTTCAATAAATCTTGACCTTTGACCCTGACACAAACATACAAACACACAAACTAATTTTTTTTTCATAGAACCCTCCTTTCAGTCGAGGGAATTATCAACTATTAATTAACTAGCTGTCAACTACCCATAAATTATTAATATGCAGGGTAAGGGTTGACCGAAGGGTAATCGAGGTCGAGGATCTCGAATCCGGTGTTAGTTTTTTCATGAACATTTTCTGACCCGTTTTTTGCGACAAAGGATCAATTTTTTAGACGATAACGTTTTAAGTGGCAATAAGTAGAACAAAATGTAACAGCTGACTGACGTCCGATCGCTGGATCTTCATAGTCATCAGCATATTAATGAGATCACACACTTTTATAAACAGCTATACTATGCGATTATCATCTGATGCCAGTCATTCAAAATGATGTTTCGCTTGTCAGGTGTTGTCTTCGACAGTCACAGCAGCACAAAGAGGGTGACTTTTAAAGAAAGAATAGAGGAGAATGAATGAATTAGTTTCAAAGGTGACTCTAGACTAAATGGAAGAGTGAAAATGTACATGTAACGGCTAGCCGCGAGTGGCCGACCGGAGGAAGGCCGACGAGCGACTAGTCGTCGATTTGCAGAATCATATTTTCAAGAACAAACTTTGTGATTTTTATAGAGCTTTAAGAGTTCTTGGACAGAACTTAATCGTTGCTTTGTACGAACATAGCTAGCAGCTATTTAAGATTCCTCGTGGTGGAGAGAAGATGGAAACCTTTTCCAGAGAATCATATAGCTATGTAAACTTTCTAAGTTTTTAATTATGAATTGATTTTCCGAAATGTGCTCATTTTCCGAACGCGTCTTCGTCCGAATGAATTTAAGATGGTAAAATGAGTACGCATGGGAACAGCTAGCTGTGAGTGACCAACCGAACGGAGGCCGACGAGCGACTAGTTGTTTCTTTTGAAAATTAGTTGAAAAGTGAGATTTATAAGACTGTCGCATAGTGACCATAATTTTTCTAAGGTATATATATATATATATATATGTATATGACATCTTTTCGAGTTTCAAGAAAAAACTATGTAGATCATCGACTTATTCAACAAAAAATGATAATAAAAGATATACTGTAGGTCATGAAGTTGTGAAGAATTTCGGCAACTTTGC